GTTATTTCTGGTGTTAACATCCTAGAAGTTGACCCCCAAGTCCGGGTCTCACTATACGCCCCTTTGTCGGCAAAGTGTTCACCGCGCTTCGCCACAAAAGTCAGCCATGAATTTGGACTTCTCAGGGCTGTATTGGAGGGTCATACAGCGATAGGGAGTAGCATTCGGCTACAAACTAATTATTTTTTTTTAGTGGTGGGACTCTTGCTGATGGATACTCGCCAAGCTCTAAGCGCCATCCACCATACTTCCGAACAACTTTATGCCGTCGACTAGTCGTATATTCGCCAATAACTTTACGGTCAATTGCATCTCGGACTAATGCATCGACGACATTCATCACAACATCACCCACCGTAGTTTTACCGTAGCTTTACACGGTGGTATTCCCCTCGGTTTATCGAATGGGTCATCAGCTTCCACACTAAGGGATGCCAAATACTCCAATTGCCGATCCACATCGATACCAAGTTCGACCAATAATAGTTTACCGACGATGAATTCATCCTCATCGGCTTCGACAATCAAACATCTCTTAGCATCCTGACATCTCACTGGGCCAGCTGCAGTGTTAAGCGTAACGGGTACGTCAACAGCGTGCGTCGAGGTGACAAATACCACCACCAACAGCTCTAGAAATGATTGGTGCATCCAGTTCGGCAACCACCACTGTCGCATCCTGCTCACATAGCAGATCGACGTGCTTGTGCGAAATGATGTTCATCTCAGAGCCGCTGTCGGCACAATAAGGCAGTTCGAGATTTCCATTAATTAATACCGTCGGGCTGTCCTCATTACTCGTTGTAGACGATATCTCTACACGTTTTGCCCGAAATCGTATGCTTTTGTCGTTGGTGCTGATTTTCTACTTTTTGATCGGCCAAAATGCCTCCTTTCCGGCTTCGTCAAGATTCGGACACTGGTTGAGCCAGTGATCTTTGCCACAGTGGATACTTCATGTCCGCGGCTTAGTTTTCGCTGGTGCCGTAGACACGGTCGACTGCACAGATGCAGGGTGAGAAGAGTCGGTTGACTTATGGACTTCTCTGTTTGAGTTAATCCGATTATTTTGCCAGTTTGTTGTTTTGGTGTGATCCTTGACCATTGCCAGACCGGGCCTTTCCTCCACTTCGCGATATGTTCGGTTGTTATTTCCGTTTGTTTAAGAGCTGATACTCTCTTGCCCTAACGCTTTCCCCTTCACCAACAAGTACAAAGTATTTTGGTCTGATTTGCTACTTGATCTACGAGGCGAATGTGAGAGTCAGCGGATTCGCGCAACGCCGCAGGGTTTAAATGCAACTCTAGGATCTTGCATTTTTTCTTGATCCCCGTTGCAGTAGAAAAAATACCTGCCATTCCGTTTTGCATGATGATTTCATCGCACCGCATGAAATAGTTCATCAATCGTGCTTTGACATCTCGTTCCTTTAAGTTCATCTTCAACTCAGTGTTGAAAATCGAATCGACGTCGAGGATCGCGTCATTCATGACGTTCCCTAGGATCTTGTTCAACTCTTCAACAATTTGCTCCTCCGTAACTTCCTCCACCTTCGTACCCCATTCAAATTTGCACAACGTGTTGAGAAGTTGCCTGTTAGATGAGGTTTTTACGCTTCGTAGGGCTTTCGATTTATCTTCACCAGTGACTGCACATCGTGTTTCGATGTTGTCTTCATACTCTTGCGTCTCGTGTTTCCACTTCATGAGATCAGGTGCGAGATGTCCGTCAAGTAAGGTTGAACAATCGCTGTCGATGACACTGGAATAGCCGTCGTGGCTTGCGTCGTCGCTTCGTCGTTCGAGGTACCAATATTTATCTCACAATCGCCTGGGATATTCGCTCAACTTGATATGAACGACCGCTGCAAGATCTCATCGTTTGCACGAGAGCCTAAGTTAACTTTGTGACGTGCTCGCGATTTGGGAGCTGAAACTCCCGAAAACCAACGTGTATTGGACAGTGTTGGTTGCTTTGATACAAATTGTAAAGTGAGCTATCTATTCTAAATCGCATACGCATCCACCGGCCACCTCGGCAGTCCAGGGGATGTCGCCTTTGTAACTTCTACTGACTGCACCCAACTGCAACCAGTAACAACATCTGTGTCCTTGCTTGTCTTCTGCGGCAGCAACTGCAGGATGAACAATGAGCCTTGTTGCAGATCTGCTTAACTAAAGCCGAACAGTGAGCCTGCCAACTACGTTGGCTGCAGGTTGGAGGAACTGTCGTAAGATGTGAGCTCGATATCATCACAGATTATCACCGAATCCGATGTGGTTGACTTTCGCCAACCACGACAACGTTCTTCTACAAGGATTTGTCGTGACTATGCGTCAGTCACTGGAATCTCCGCTGCAGCGAGGAAAGCGCCGGTTGGGCTACTATAGCACATCGGAAACACGAGAGTGAATTTCATAGGGATGATGGCTACATGACTATATTTTTTCGAAGGTGTGCCATCTGGGCCAGCCAGATATGAAAGCATCCTCTGGCCCAAAAGGCTTTTGAGGTAACATATCATCCAGACCCGCTTTTGGTTCCCTGTTTGCCAGAGGCAGATTGGAGAGGACGATGCAGAGGTAGATCCCACTGGTATAGGTTTAGGAGGAAAGGCTGGATCAAACTGACTGAGGTTGATCGGAGCTTGATCGATGGTTACGGCCCCAAATCTAGTAGTGCCACCATTACCTGATCAATTGGTGACGCAAAGGTGTGCAATGCTTACGGCTTCCGATCCGTATTTGGCGAGGGCACGCTGAATAACCCCGTCTAGCAACTCGTCCTCAATTTGAGCGCCTTCAGGGTCCTTAGGATTATCTTCATCGCCATTGTTATCACAACAGTCGTCCGAGCTGCCGAAGAAATCTTGTTAAGGTATCGCTGTGGCCTTGGATTTGGACCCGGACTTACATTTGACTTCAATGTGGTGGAGTGGGATTCGCAAAATCGCGTTGCGATCCACTCAGACACACAGTGCCCTGGACTGCCGACTGACGGAGGGGGTACTCCGATAA